TTACGTGGCAAACCTACGACGGGCATCTCACAGGCCCCACTTGAGGACTGAGGATTAATTTCGACCACCTGGGGATCTTTTGACGGGCAACGGAAAGCTCGGTTACACGGCGCCTTTGCCGCAATAAGCCTCCGTCATATTGCGGGCACCTCGGTCGGGATTCAAACCCGCCACCTAGAAGGGAAGATCCATCTAGTGGTGCAGTTGTTGTGGCGGCACCCACATGACAGCAGAAACGCGCGTGCGGTCGTTTTTGTTTATCTCGGCTACAGTGGTGCTCTCTTAGCATTCGTCTCCGTATTTAGCCGTATTTAAAGGAGTGTATGAAAGACGCGAATTTTGCGCGTTATCATCACTCGAAAATCGTGATATGTCTTCTCGTACCCTGAACGATCGCAAAGTTTATGGGATCAAGAAATCATATTTTCACGTTGCTGTAACTCTGCTGAGATTGCATTGTCGTTTCGAACCATAAAAGAGGATTTTGGCGAGATTTGTATGATCAGTAAATAGTTTTTTTTAATTCGTGATCGACCAAGACGGCGTACTACTTATGCTCCGTTTCTTTTTTTTCATCGACTCTGCCCTGCCAGCCTGTCCCGACAATAGAAGAGTTATTAAAGATTGAGCCCATAAAGAGCTCTCTCCATTTTCTGCTTCGCCAGTGAGTGACAGAGCATATCTTCTTTCTTAGAGATACCGCGGAAACGGCTGACGGCAGGAGAGAAGTGGCTGTCGTGCTGATGACCTGCTGCGCTTCGTAGCGGCGAATGACACCGGGCATATGCTATTCCTGTAGCGCAACATAAATATTTGAATTTCGCTCAGTTTCGAAGTGTCCGTGCCTATCGCGATGAGGAGAGGTGCCGATTCAGAAAATATGCTGGTGGCCTCGGCGCCGTCAGCACTGTAAAACCCTTTAGTGAAACTTACCGGCACATCACCAGCTCGCCACTAACACTCCCATTCGCCTACTACCTCGTGCCATAGTACGTCACGACCATCAAAATTACACCGCGGCTTGTTTTGCGGTGAACTGAAGAGGAAGGAAAATTCCATATTTCAATTATTTTTTGTGTAGGATTTAATAAACCGAAACGAATACGGATGTCCGTTTTGCGTTCAGTGAACATAGAAGGTTTAATGTAAAAGTTATTTGGCTAAAGTAAAAAGGTCGTTTCATGGTTCCTTTAAGTAAGTCAGGCGAACTAATACTGTTTTAGATCAGGGTGAATACTCTGAAAGAATACCTCTGCTTCAAAAACAAATTGATGGGGTTTACTCCTGAAGTCCACGGCCGTCGTGAGGTTCCGTATTGGGGCAAAGACTCTCCCACATCACCAGTCGGCGCTCTGTGTCTTCAGCTTCCTTCCGCGCGCCGTTGTTGTCTGTGTCCGTGAGACCCAGGGAACGTTCCAAGCCGCAGCTGTGGGAGGTTTTTCTGGTGTGCTCGAGATGTTTGCATCGACTGACGACATGCATGATTGGCTCTTCTTCTGCTCCACAAATTCGACAGGTTGGATCGTCCCCGTACAGCTCGCGCCTTCGGCTCTGGGTCTCGTTCGTGCCTGAAAAAGCAGGGCGCTGGCTCCCTGCCTCCTGTGGTGGCGGAATGGGGCTGAATCACTATTGTGCTTTCGGTAGAGCTCAAGGTTCTGTTTCTTCTGGGTCGCCCTCTTCCACTGCTCGGTTCCCGCCCGTGTCACCTCTCCGCGAGTCGTTTTGCCCCATCTTATCTACGTGCTCGCCTGCTGCATGGCCGAACCCCCACAGAATTCGGAATCCACAGCTTTTAACTTCTTTACCCAATTTTCCTCGTTCCGTTGTTTCTAATGCAATAATACGATATTTGCGCGTAGCTCTCCGACGGACGGAATGTTAATCTTCCCGTGTATTGCAGCTTGGACCTGGTTTCTCTGGTTTGGTGCGTAGACCAGCCCATCCGCCCGTTACTGCTGCATTAGCTATGGATCTGCTTCCCCCCAGCAGCCTCCTCCCCAGCTCGTACTGCAATCGGTTCAAGCCTTTGATGCCGGCCAAGCTGAACGTGAGCCCTTGGTTGGCATAGGGAATGAACGGCGCTGCTAGCATTTTCCACGGAAATGTTCCCACCGAATATTTGTATGAGTGTTCGGCAACGTGCCACATAGTCTCCGTTAATTGGTTTGATTTTGCAGTTAAGTTTTTTTAATGTTGGGCCAGATGAACTATATCATATGTAATTGTTGCACCAAGGTACGTTGAGCTTTCTTGGTTCACTACCTAGTTTTGCAGACAGAAGTACTAGTCACACTATGCATTAAATCTCACCTACTGTATTATTTCGACGTTGCATTTAAAGTTGTCCCTCGATGCCTCTTCTGTGCCAATGCTCATCAGGTGATGCATACCTGCTGCCGTCTGTGCGATGCTCACCACATAGTCCGGAAAGGCCAGGCATGGGATACGTGTGTATTCTTCTGCTCCATCCTTGGCGATCGTGCTGAGACGCAGACCGGCTATTGCTTCCTTCAGTCACTTAAGGAGGTTGTTGATGTAGAGATTAAACAGTTTTGGTGACAGGGGGCACCCCTTTCTCAGCCCTGTAGTGATTAGCACTAGCCTTGATTAGTATTCTCCTATTGTGTAGCAGCCATCGCATTTCCTGTACAGGCTCTTCAAGAGTTGTTTGTTGTTCCCTTCAACCCCACTTTGCCGCATTTTTATTCGGACTTTGATGATGTGCTGTGCCCTACGTTTTTCCATAACCTAATATGCTAGTTACAACATGAATTTCTTTGTTTCTCAGTTCTAGTGCCTATGCTAAAGTAAATAGGTTGTCGCTTGTTCTCCTGTTGGCCGGAATTCATTTCAGCTTGTACAAGCATGTTTTGTTTTTTTCACAGATATAATGCAGCCTATGCTTAATTATACTGGTGAACAACATGCAGAGGTTACCTAGTATTGGTATCGGTCTGTAGGCTCCAAAGTCTTTGGGTCCGATTGTTTTCGTTTCTATATTAGCTTCACTTTTGTTTGGTTCCAGCACTGTGGAATTTCCTTAGTCTCCAGCATGGCATTAAAATATGCCCTGAGGCTGTCATCTGCATTTTTTTGGTGCCTTGATAAACTCATTGCTTGTTGCCTTTCGCTTTTCTGCTCTTTTTATTTCCGTCTTCATTTCCAGTCTAGTTAGGGGGTTCATTATAGAGTGTTCTTGTCTTTTTTTGCTTTCAGGAATTTTTGTTCTGCTGTTTGCGTCATCTGGAGTTCTCTTCAGATCTTATTTTTGTTGTGTAAATTATTCGGTCAGCCAGTCTTGTTCTTTTTTGTCCTCTGGTCTGTGCCACCTCTTTGTAATATCTGTAATTTGTCTGTTTTTCCATTCAACTGGGCCTTCATTGAAGTAATTTGCTTCCAAAATGTTTCGCTAGCCTTTTTTCTTCTTTTAGTATGTTCTCTTCTGTCTTCCTGCTGAACTGCTGCATTTTTGTAGCTACAAGGGCCTTCACTTGTGATTTTGTTCTTCGAAATATTTCCACAGGTAATCAACTTGTGCTGGAAGATAGCCATTACGCTGTGCCACCTGTGCTGTTTCTTGACCTCTTGCCTCCTCCTGAATGCGTCATTTACTTCCTTGTCAAACCATGGTCATCGAATCCGTCGCCGTCCTTTCCTATTTTTTTTCAACTTGTTCGTTTGCGGTTTTGCAGACTAAACTGCTAAGTTGTTCGTATCTGTTCTCTGCTTCAATTATTTTCTCCACTTGTGATGCGAATTCTTATATCTTCTCTTCTGATCCTAGCTTCCAGTGGCTTTCCCGGGTGTGTACCTTTGCTTCTTTTTTTTTTTTGATTTTCGGTGTTAGCACTTTTGTGGGCAATTTTTATAAAAAGGCTAAGGAACTTCATTCTTTCTAATTCCCGCATAACATTGGTAGTGTAGCGTAATTCAGCAGATGGTTTATTTTTATAACAAGCGTAGTTCTTTCTACGTGGGTGGAAAGCATACTTCTGTGAAATTTTCGCAATCATGGCCCTGTGCAGAGGGGTACAGAACACGCAGTGCAAGTGTATCTAGTTGTTTTTCGTGCTGATTGGTGCTGCAGTTCCTGCATGGGCGGTAGTTGGAGTGTTCGAATGCAAAGCGCTGTCCCACTCCGGTCAACCTGACTTTTTTGGGCACACCCATACCTTTAAAAAAGAATGACGGTGTCCTCCCTCTCTTCTCGCATGTCGTGTGCTCACACATGAGCTGTCTTGCGAGCTACCGTCTAAAAGCAAGCTGATCTTTCTTCTGAACCGCACGGTGTTGTACAAAACGGAGGCATTGACAATTGAAAGGTCCACAAGAAAAAAAAATCCTGTGCCACCACTTGAGAGTTCAGCGTCCGATGCCGTACGCCTCCCGCAGCTGGTCAAACTTGACGACACCTCCCAGTATTTAGTTGCAGGTCGCAACAACCTCGGTGCCGGTGACAGTCGCCTTCCCCCATCTTTCTGTGTTCTTGAAACCACTGACATTTTGGTTGGGTTCGGAGCGGTGTAAGGCATCGCCACCGCTTTGTTGTCCATCCACTTCGTTGCGGAGACATTATCCTTTACTGGGAACTTCGAAGAATCCCGGTTCATGGCCTCCTTCTTCCGTTGCCATTGTGAATGTACCTTTTGGTTTGGTCTGACTGTGCCGCACGTGAAAAATCCGTCAGAGAAATAGAGCCTCCATGAGCGTGATTAACGTAAAAGTGTTGTCGTAAGCCGCAAGGCTTGAGGTGTGACCTATGAAAGAGCAAACTTTGAGTTCAACACTTTCACCGAGCCCGAAGGAAGTAGAAGTTTAGACCTTTCTTGTATAGAGGCTGAATTCCCATACAAAACCCTTTGTAGAGTGTGCCAAGAAGGAGACTTTGTACAATTTGTCTACAGGTTTCATTGGCATGTAGTGCTTGAAGCTCGATCTGACTTTGAATGCTATCATGTTCTTTGCATCGAAAAGCTTCGATGAAGGGCTGCATACCCTGTTATATCCTCCTGAGACCTGGGAAAACTTTTTATTGCGGATTCTTGTCAAATTTACAGGGATAGCTTTATATGATATAGGGAAGATATAAAAAAATATTTTATTTTAAAATTGTCATTAGAATTGATGCCAATTAATGTCCAATATATTGGACATTCGGTCTTAACATGCATATTGCTAGAGGTCTTATAAGGGGACGAGCCTTCAAATAGCGTCCCACGTTAGCGTGTCTAACAAGGACAGAGAGAAATCGCAGAGATATTGTATCAAATGTTTAATATCAGTAACACAGGAACAAAAGAAAAAAAATGTCATGAGCTTTTTGTCACGAATGACGTATTTTTACAACACACTTCAGAGCAAGCAAAACCTTTACTTAGTCGAGTGAGCCATCTCAAAACAGCGTCTTTCTTTTGTTATGCAAAAGAAAAGCTGGCACTTCGTGCAAAAAAACTTCGTTTTCATATTGCACCCTTCCAACCTGCAACGGGCAGCGTTCGAAACATCGGCAAGCCTTGGCATGTGCCCCAGGGTTTTGGCTCTGCTCTCGGCCGGGGGAAGGGGTGCCCGTTTTTTTGGAGGACAATAGTCTGCATCGCTCTCATCGGTGCTCTCCTTACTGCCTTGTGTAACAAGCGCTTCGCCAACAGAGAAGCGAAAATCTAGGAACTTGAACACGTCCTTTTGCCTCTTTTGCATTGTCTTCATGTCTTTCGTATAGAGGATCCATGCGTTACTAAGAGCCATGTCAAACATATGAAAAATGACCCTGATAGTCCATTTCTTTACTCTTGCCTTAATGCGGTAATAGCTGATCATCCTGTCTGCCATGTCCACTCCCCCCATGTTCACATTGTAGACTTGTACAATGTGTGGCCTATAAACATCAATGTATTTTTTCTCTTTCGCATTCCACCTGCGGCAGGTGTCCTCCGGTTCTTTCCCATGCACGGATGACATTAATGTCACTGGTTTGCTGTCATACCATCGCACGATGATCTGTTGGTCATCACTGCGAACCCACATCTCAGAGGTCCCCCGTCCTCTGGCTTTAAGCTGCCCTTCTGATGACAGCTTCACCCCCTTGGGTAGGCGGTTGTTCATCACGGTACCCGTGCCTGCTATGTCCTTTTCGACAAGCTTATCTAGGAGTGCTGGGGACGTAAAGTACCGGTCGAAGAAAAGATGGGTACCAGGTGCAAGACTTTGGGAAAGCCTCAGTACAGCCGACTCTGCAATCCCGGAACTGCCTGGACACAGAAGAGACTTTTTTCCCTGATAAATCTCGAAATCGAGAATCAGGCCGCTGGGATTTGCCAAAACAAAGTTTTTCAGTCCTTCGGGGTTTGGCTTTCTTGGTAGAAACTGCCTTAGTTGCGTTCTGCCACTAAACGGTATCATTTGTTCATCTATGCTTGCCAGTTCCTCACGAGGGAGTTTGAGGCATCCTTTCAGTACCTCCGCAATGAGAGGCCGAACCCTCCAGAGCCTGTCCTGGTTTTTTTCTTCATCAGTTATATTGAGGTCGTTCACAACTTTAAGTCGCGATCTGAGCTGAAAGTACCTGTCCCGCGACATACTGTTCGCGATGAGTGGCACCCTCATTTTTTTCATCCAATACATTTTGATCTGAGGATAGCCTAGACAAGACATTGTGACTGAGATGCCGAAAAATATTTTCAATTCATCTGCAGAGGTGTTAAGGCTCTTTCCTGTCTCAGCCACTTCTTTGGTGTTCATAGCCATTGCCATCATTGCAAACATTTCGTCAGTGACATACTGCTGAAAATATTCATATGGGCTGCAGTCAGCTCTCTCCCCCACGTCGTCCGGCACGGCTTGGAAATCCGGTACCCAGGAGAAAGGAGATCTGAAAGCCACATAGTACCAGCTCTTAAAAATATGTACCGAGCTTTCCGAGCACACAAATTACCTTGTAAACGCAACTAAGTGTGTCAAAGATAGCAGTACGACGAAAACAGTGGTCAGAAAAAACACAATATTCCTCAGAGCTTACAGAAAGCTAAACACAGATTAAAGCCGGACTCAAAGCTCAAACTATCTCGCCCTCAAAATATGCTGCAAACAGCTATCAACGCAGAACAAGCAAATTAACATACATCTATTTTCTTATTATGTATCTTGATAGCGGGTAAATCTCACCTCTGACAGGCTTTCCACAAAGGGAGTCTCTTCCTCGTAGAAGTACTAGCCTGTGACTCATCTTCCTCGCTGCTGCTGCCCCCTGCAGAACAGGGCTCATCTTCCACAGGAACCAACGGAGGGTCGTATTCAACGGTGTCGTCCTCACTGTCTGACAACTCGATGTCAGACGTCTGTCCTTGCACAATTTTGTCTAGTATTTGGTCAGCAGTTTCTTCGCTGATCCGTGGTCGATCTCCTAAACCAACCCAAAAAAATAACATCCCGCGTGAAAAAAAAATGTGAAAGACGGCCTTTTTCTACGGCACGCACGTGAGCAATCGAATGTTACGTCAGGCAGGCAAACTTGGCACTGAGCCCCATTGTCCTGTCTAGTGGACATCGCAATCTCAAAGGCGTCAGAGTAAAACAAAGACAACTGAAAACCAACACTGTATACCGTCGTGGTCCCTAGATAGTCAATTATGACTTCCGAACGAAAGAAGGACCAAAACCGAGAGAAAATGAGCAAAAACATACTTACGTTTTCGGTCGCTGCCGTAGAACGTACTCGAAGTGAAAGCCGCCATTTTAGAAGCCTCCGCAGCTCCCGCCGGTGAATTGATTTTCACGCAACTTCACAGATGGCGCCACCAGATGTCCACAATGTTGGACATCGGGTTTCAACGACGAAAACACTGTCGATGTTTGTATATGCGTTCAGATCCTTTGTCCAATATGTTGGACAAATTTTCTATTGCCGGGTCTCAGGAGGATATGATCTTTAATTTCGTCAACCGTGGGTCTCAATTTGTGGAGCTTGTCATAGCCTGGTTTTCTACGAGACTTCGCCAGCGTTGTCGTTGACATGCAGATTTTCGACAATGTACTTGAACCACTTTGCTGGGAAGACATCTGAGACTGCCTTTGCGTTTAGAGCTGGGTCGAAATTCCAGTACTTTGAGGAGTGAGAGGTGACAAATACCCATAAAAATCAAACATCCGATGAATGCCCTGAACTTTTCTTGAGTCAGTGGCTCCCAGTTGATGGAGGTGGAGTTTACTTTTTTGCCGGTACAGCGCTCCACACGGTTTTGCGACGCATAGCGATTAGTCTGTTTGACACTGTTGTTGTTATCGCATTGTTTAAAATCTGCTTGAAACAACTGTAAATCTTCTGATATAAGATTAGCCTTCACGGATGACTCCACAGCAAAGATATAACTCCTGCCGGCAAATACACTAAATAGTCGCTCCAAAATACGGTCACCTTTTCATGTCAGGGTCATGGTCATAGTAGAAAGCATCCAGGTCGTTCGTTTCTTTGTCAAACTCAAAACATGCTTCACTGATGCTAAGCTGCACTACTTCACTTTCCTATGCTTGCGCTTCAGTTGAAAAGGCTCTTTCTTCTTGATTCCCAAATTTACCCTGGGCGTCGCTGTCTTGTTCGGCTTCGGAATCACTGCACTTCTCAGGGAGGCTTAAGAACAGCTCTATCGGCTCTTCCTAAGTCATACCCTTGTGACGACTCATCTAAATACAGATAATGCGATCTAGTAAAAATATGGGAAAAGGGCCAAGAAGTCTCGTTGTAGATAAAGTGCCACTTTGTATGAAGACATGTATTCCGTGTGCCCTTTTCATTCCTTCGGGCATCCATTCGTTTTTTCGTTAATCTATTCAATCATACTACGCTTGTAGCTTGGTAGAATATAGCTTTTTATGAGACGAGAAAGGCTAGATGCCTGAAAAACACAGAGTTACACTTATCGATGGACATGCAGACTTGTGGTCTGGGACAAACGCGAAGAACGAACAAAGCCTTCGGCACGTCCGGCGCACGCACCTTGGCGGGACATAAAATAGAAACACAGATACTTTGTTTAGAGGGAACTATACAACATATTTTTTCTCAGTGCGAAAAAATCCTGGCAGGCAGAACCACGTGCCGCAGATGGGAAGCGAGCTTCCCTACGGACACATTCAGATAATCTTTATACTGCGAAGTATAGTTCCCACAGCACACAAAAGTGTTCAGTTTTAGCAGGATTCTGTTGTGGGCGCTTTTACTGCTAATTGCCTTGCTCTTGTAGATATCCGTTGAGTCATTCTATGTTCGCTTCACTAACATCATTGCTTATGAGTACGTAGTCAATTGCTCTCTGCTAATTTCTGCGGCTCCATGTGGCTTTTCCCTCGCACTCTGGATCTAGGTTGACTATCTTTAAGCTATGCTTCTTGTCTTGTCTCCTAAAACATTCTGATTCACTTTCTGAACCATCCAACTTCAGTATGAGACAGTTTAAGTCGTCCACAACCAATATCGTCTCGTTTTCAAAAATTGTGGTGATATACTTTGAGATGCAGTTATAAACAGTGTTGTTCTGAGCCGGGTATTCATTTGCGGTAGCCATGTAGGCTGTACATATGCTTAGTTTTTATTTCCATTGAATGTTAGTGGTATTTTGCATGTTCTCTGCATTCCTGTTTCTGATGTGCTGCGTTACATTCAATGTTTTAATGCAGTACCATAAAACCTAATCCTCCTCCCTTTTTCACCCTGTTTGCACCGTTACAGTATCTTCAATCCATTTACTGTTTAGGTAAGGTCGTTTTTTTCTCAGGTGGGTGTGAGTTACGGCATATATTCGAATTTCTTCGCTTGCGTTGTGTTGAACTTCCTCCCATTTTAGTTAACTTCCTCCTTGCATGTTGAGTACGGCAATTCTGACTGCCTCCAATTGTTTTCTCCTATTGCTTCGCCTTGCCCTAACTCGCCTGTTTTTCAGTTCCTGGTTCTTCAGTGAACAGTATTCCTATAGCAGGGGCTCTCCCACTGGATCCACGATGGGTTCCGTGCTGTTCTTGATCCCTCTCTGTCCTCTAAGGCATGTGCAATTTCTGTCCTGTCTTTCACAGAGGGTTGCCCGGTCTGATCTCAGGTGCCTCCCTGAGGCTTACCATCCTGGCCTCCTATGTATTGACTTCGGATGCCGTTTTTGTTCTTTTTGGTCTTGCTCACTTCATTCTGTTACCCTTTTGGAAGTGCTCCGGCCCCTTCCAACCGATGGGTTTCTGGTTGTTGCGGCGGCAGTGTCGCGTTTCCCTCTGGCTAAAAGAACCCGTGTGCGCGTGACCAGCTGCCCGCCCGTTGCCTCGCTGGTAGCTTCGGTGTAGTGTTCGACGTTGAACGGATATTTCATTTTTTCCTTCGTCCAATGCAGGTTCACCGGCTGTAAGTTTTCTGGGCACTTCGTGCACAGTGTTTCCACGCTGTTAATATATTCCCAGAGCTTTTCTAGTGTGGCCGTGCCCATGGCTGTTATCTCGGTATACGTAGAGATGTGAATGACTTCTTTAAGGAATTTGGTTTGCATTTCCTCGATTATCTTGATGGTCTCGTCGAGGGATTTCAAGTTAAGGCAGTCATTGATTCCAGTGTGGTCGATAACCATGGTGGACTCATCTGGTTTTGAGGCCTCAACTGGTTCCTTGTCACGGGTGTGCCACTAGAAGGAAAGAAGAGGACGTGAAGCAAGGGGGCTCGAGGAAGAGAATCGGTGGAGATCCTTTTGGAATCGGCTGGAGCTTCCGGTCTCGGCGACGCCCCGAGCCAGAGGCGAGGCCTCGGCGACGCACCGAGCCAAAGACGAGCTCTCGGCTACGCACCGAGCAAGGAACGAGGTCTCGGCGGCGCCCCGAGCCAGAGGCGAGCACTCGGCGACACACCAAGCAAGCCTGGGCTACGCTCCGGGGAACTGGGGTCAGCCTGGAACATCGTTCCGCCAGTTCGGCATCCGAACGCTGAGCCCCAACCGCCCAACCACGAGCAAGTGTCCGTGAGTGGATCGACTGGGGACTTGTCACGGAGACGGGGACTTACTGATGCACTACTTCTAGTTATCTTTTTTTTTTCTCTCGTTTCTTCTTCTTTTGTAAATATATTACTTTACTCTCATCCTCCACTGCCTTCTTGTCTCTACTGACTCCGCGTACCTCCCCGGCGTGACAAATTGGCGAGCCTACCAGGATCCACCATCTTTCCATGCACTTAACCACGCCGGGTTGGGGGCGGACGGATCAGTGGAGCTGAGTTGGACGTGATGGGTACACAAAGTTTGATTGCGTTAGGAAAAGAGTTGGGCTACCAGGGAACCGAGCTTAAGAAATGGGTGGAGGAGGAAAGAGAGAGAATTAAAGAGGAAAGAGCCGAGAGGGCACGAGAGCGTGATGCCGCAAGGCTAGAACGAGAAGGCGAATGCCTACGACTAGATAAAGAACAAGAGGTACTTCGACTAAAATTAGCTGTACAGCAAGGCACGGCGGCGAGCCAGGAGGGAAACCATAATAACGGTGAAGGAGAGGCCGGCGGGCAAGCACAACGTGGGAGTCCGCATAAGTTAATCCCTCAATTCAAAGAGGAAAGAGACGATTTGGACGCCTATCTGAAGCGGTTTGATTGAACAGCCACCGGACTAGGATGGCCGCAAGAGAAGTGGGCGACAACACTTGGGTTGTGCCTGACCGGGGAAGCCCTCACTGTGGTGGGACGACTGTCCCCCGGGGACGCACTGGATTACACGCGAGTAAATCTGGCCTTACTGCAGAGGTTCCGCTACACAAAAGAGGGATACAGGGAAAAGTTCAGAGAGGAAAAGCCAGAGGACGGAGAAACAAGAAGGCAGTTTGCCGCCCGTCTAGCATGTTAGTTCGATAGGTGGGTAGAGATGGCGGAAGTAGCAAAGTATTTTGAAGCCCTACGTGATGCGGTCTTGGTGGAGCAGTTTCTAGTAACGTGCTCGAGCAAGTTATCAGTATTCCTCCGAGAGCGAGAATGCCGAGACTTAGACGAAGTGGCGTCAAAAGCAGATGTATTTCTTGCGGCGCAGGTTCAGCCCGGCACCTGTAAGCTCAAAGGTGGCGAGTCAGCTGAGAATTTGAATGCGGCATCGCCAAGAGATACTCTAACTTGTGCAGGCAGAAGAGTGTTGCGTTGCTTTCTTTGCAACAGGATCGGCCATAAAGCTGAAAACTGCCGCAGTCGACCGGCAATGCTTCAAAGCCCGACATGTTGGAACTGTGGTACGACCGGGCACCGGACCGAAGGCTGTGCGTCCAAACCAAGCGACAGACATCAAGCGTCGTGCTTGTGGGCTGACCCACGGAGAAATATGTCCGCCGAGATCGATGACGGTTTTGTTACCCTCAGGAACGGAGAGAAAATACCCTTTGTCAATACGGTAGTGGAAC